CAAATAATCAGGTAATTCCGGAAAATGAAAATGCTATTACTTCTATGCATAACGTGCAATCGCATGATGTATTAAACTTAAGAAAAAGAAAAAAGCTAACATTTTTCATTTTCCGAATTAAATAATCAGGTCATTCCGGAAAATGAAAATACTATTACTTCTATGCATAAGTGCAATCGCATGAGCATAAAACATGATGTTTAAGGAAGAAAAAAAAAAGAAATATAACCTTAACAAAGCCGCATCCCTTCCTGCCTGAATCATAGTCATATATGAAGACAACTTTTCACTTCTCTTTTTAGCCACTCGAAATTTTATTGCGGCTAAAATTGCTTCCACATAAGAGATTACTGGATTGACCTAAACAACTGAGATAAATAATGCGTGGGCTGATCTTATCGGAACCAAGAGATTTAAAATGTTTGTGATGAGTCTTCAAAGTAATGAATACAAATACCACATCTAAAACTCAACATATTTACAGTTTCTTCAAAATAATATAATGCCGAATAGATTAAAATTTGCCATGAAAAGCAATTCAGAAGGTCCATGTATTAAATACAATAAATTACCTGCAGAAGACAAATAACAATGCGAAAAATTAACTCTTTTGAGTAAGCGTGCTTCATCCCTCGTTGCACAGCGTGTGCAGAAACATCGTCAATCCACTATAAGAAAGAAACAATATATAATATAAAGGAGGGTTAAACAGTAAGAACAGTAATGAATATAAATGCCCACATCTAAAACTCAGTATATTCACAATTCCTCCATAACAATATAATGCTGAACAGATTAAAATTTGCCATGAATTTCATGGACTTTAGCAGACTTGAGTGCAATCGAAATTTGGTGTCTATATTAAATTAAAACACGCCTTACAAACAAAGAAAGCAGAAATGTGTGTCCAGAAATATCAGTTGCTTAGGTTACTCTTTTTTTCTCGAGAGCAATTAGGAACCAAAACCTACTCGATGTTCACAATAATGAACATAAGCAGTTGTAGCGTCACTGCTAATATCGGCCAAATATGAGGCAGCTGAGAAGATGAAGCAAAAAATATCAAAATTGCGAACAGTAAGTGTATGAGGTAAACGATCCGTGCAGTCCTTAATAGTATCTGCAATATAAATCATGCTAATTAAAATTTAGTACATATAGAAGTAAAAGCTGATAAAACCAGGAACATAAACGTCTCTTATGCACAATACTCTTTACAAAGAAATGATAAGAAAATATTTTTACTGGTACACCAAACCTTCCTAAATTCTTCAGATATTCCGTGAATTTTCCAGTGCTCACGTCATTTTTTTGTTAACCAGTCAATTATTAATTTAATTTTGTGGTTCTTGCTCCTCAAAAAAGAAAAAAAATTTAAGACGGACGAAATCATTTCGGAATCTTTTATCCTACTTGTCTAGAAAGAATGTTTGTAGCATTATTTGCGCGATACAGTGCACTTAGTGAAGTGATCTAGCAAACATTCACGATTATGTTAGCATTTTATTTTTAAGAGTTAGTGGAAATACATACTTTAATGTCATTTTAACAGCACTGTGCTAAAAAAGAATAAGCAGGAGTCTTACCATCTTCAGATCTAATATCATGCTTTATTGGATATTTCCAAAAATACTTAGTTCCGATTGTCCCATTTCCAAGAGGATCTTCGTCACTGACTTCATTCATAGCAGAACCAGCTGCTATTTAAAAAAGAAAACCGAAAGTGGAAAATAGCAGTCAGTTCCAATAACTTAGTGAACTAGTACGACAAATTTCAGCACTATTCCAATAAGTTTTGTTGGAATTCATGACCCTAACGACTCTGCTTATGTGGTTACCTTGTCGCTTCAACGAGAGAATAGGTGAGGTTTACGAATTCGTTACTCGTTCAAAAGCTTTTTCGCTAAAACATGTTGATGGCAAAAGAATGACATGCAGATCGAAGTTTAAATTCAGGTGAAGGTTCTGTGTAACTTTCCAACGAAATACGATAAAATCCAGATGGTTCTTTCCCTCTTTAACGTCGTTCAAAATGATGTCACTACAATATTTAAAAACACTATCTGTAGGATTTTCCCTATTAATAGAGAAATAAGTGTTTCTTCCAGATATGCGCCCTCAAAGTATACTGATTCCAAATTAATTTCCTGTTACACAGTAAATCTCAGATCTCACTAATGCTACTTACCCTGAAGTGGGAATTATTAAACATCGACTTGAAAGCATGTGCTCACATCCAAAATCATATTATGGCAATCCGGGTTCAAACCTATCGGAGATCGCTTACCTTTGAGATACATCATGGTTAGGCTTCGCGAACGAAGATCCAAGAGGGGCTATAACCACAGTTGTTGCGTTGATGACAGTGTGACTTACACCTTAGCAGCCTTTTCGCTATCATGATAAACTTGTTGGAGACATATTTACTATGCAAAAATTTATTTATCCAAAATTAGAGATGCCCTTTTTAAAATAAATCTGAAATCAAATCAATGCCAGAACACAGATACAGTTTTTAACCAATTTCAAATATCATTTATACTGAACACATTTCAAATTTTATGCGAAGTTTATTCTCCTATCAAAGAGATGACTACACAAATTAAGGAACATTCCTTTTACAAATGAACTAATTAAAAGTTTGTTTCAACAAAAAGCTTCCACAACGCGAAGTAACTTACATAAATATCGAAAAACTCAAACCACAAAGGTATTTATGACAGAGTAGTAATTACTATCTAGACAATTTTCCAACAAAAAATTTCGACCATTTCTCACATTTCTACAAAAACATGTCATGTCCGAAGATGAGATGCTGTAATACGAGTTTCTAATCGAATTTCTCCTCCGTTGCTCAGATAACAGAGCAGTATGTTATGTAAGTGCTTCCTTGCTTAATATGTTTATTAGCATACGTTTCCTAGAAAGAACATCCACCCTAATAATTAAAATCGAACTAGATTTAAGTATCTGAATTAAAAAGTGTAGCCAAGTGGTGGAATCATGAAACAACATAAATAATCAAACCAATTATAGTGCTCACAATTTTTACTTGAAAGTTCACCACACTGGTGACAAATGCAAGGCCTTTCAAGGTGCATACTTTTCCTGTGGTTCTTTTGTAATTTCTTTAGGCGATGATAATGAATTTGGAAACATTCAACGTGTGGACGGCAGAATTTTCTGAATGTTACAATTGACAAAAAGCTTAGGTGGCCACTAACTGGTAGATGAAACATTCTTGCCGAAACTTTGCTAGAATGAAACTATGATTCATAAAATTTTAAGCATCCACATCTTAAAGGTCTCTAGAACTTTGCGATCACTCAATACATGAGCATTGCGGTAATCTCTTGATAATGGCGTTCATGATACTGCCATTCATCCACTGGCCTTGGACAAAGAAGCTTACGAACCGTTAAGTTTAATGAATCTACCGGTTAAGCTGTAGGTAAATCAGACCATCCGTCTCCGGGCGACCAACACGAGCATTGTTTTTACATTTTGTTCATTTGCTTTTTCCTCAGTATTCCAACATTTATTAGCCTTATCTTCCTCCAAGGAAACCCTTAAATTTAGGACAATTATAAACAAACCTTTCCGTAAATATGCCGTCTTGTTTGTGTACATTTTTATGTTTTTCAAATAATATAATCCATATTTTTGGTGAAAAAATACAAGCTAATGTGACATTTGCAGATATCGATATTGAGATGCACAACGATGTCGTTTGTATCTAAAAAGAACCGTCACTTTGCTTAAATTTTTTCCTTCTTCCATTATCCCAATTAATTTTTGAATTAATCCAATTAATGGGTCTTTACTGTTGCTATTTCAAAATGCCCAACAATTTTCCATGAGAAGCCATTATAATGAAACATAAAAATATTCTAGTTTCTGTACGAGTTTACAAGTCATTGGACACTAACTAGCAATATTTAAAATTCAATTCATAGCCACTGAACACAACCGACCTGAAAGTCACTTCCTGTACCGAAAAAAAAAAACATCCAGGAAAGCCACAAAATACAAGTTGTACACATTGTGAAACCAATAAAACGCGTTTCATTGAAACTCTCTGACACTTTTCGAGTTTTGATCGCATAAACAGTACATAATACAATTAATTGCAGCATCATAAGCTAGTGAATAAAGGAAATGATGATCAGGAACGTTACATTCAAGTACAACTTGATCTCTTGTTGGGTAATAGTGTTTCGTACCTGAACAGTATCGGTGAATGCCTTTGTTGCTTCTTCGGTCCCAAAACGTTTGTAATTCAATGCCGATTTAGAGCAGCAAATACAAAGAAATGACAAAAATTTACCGGGTGGAACAATGAGAAGCCAAATTAGTGATCCAAAAAGCTAAAGAACAGTGAGTAATACTGTCAAAAAAACCTGTGATACAGGCGAAATGCATACTGGTTGTGGTACTGAACGATGTGAAAAAAATTCGGGCTACCCCGTTTGGTTTTAACTAGAAGAGATGCGTATAAACATGAGAAAGCAAATCCAACACCTGAAAGGCAAAAAGAACAAAAATATGTTCGTGGGACAAGAGCAACTGATAAAATTTTCAAGAAAAAACAAAAAGCAAGGTTTTGAAATTCTTACATGTCCTTTTAAGAGCACAGTTGAAAATGGTTGGCTTAAAGATAAGTACAAAAGTCATTGCATAGCACATAATCATTGTTACCAGTATAACATAACTAAGCTCACGTCCTGACGCTTTTGCCACCGCTGTGTCGTGATTCCTGCAATGCAGGTTATTTTCCTTGTAATATCTGCCACTCAAACATCAAAGTTTCCATCGTTGAAGAAGCCTTTTCATGGATGGCAAATGTAGTAGCTACTAGAAATCATGATTTAATATAATATGTACTGTGTATATTCATAACTTCTCTGTAAATTTAGAATTTAAACTTTGTCCAGCAATCCTAATATTTTTTCTGGCCATATCTATTTAGTTTGCTTGGGCGTAAACTAAGTGATCTTTTATTGACATCAATCAAGCACAAGCTTAGATCTTCAGGGCTACTGACAATTACTTATAAAATCCTTCTCTTGCTAAATGTTGCACTGCTTGCAGTCCTCGCGAATTATTATAATCTTTAATTATCCAAGCTTGAAGCATTTCACCGACAAAACCATGATCTTAAATTTTATCAAAAATCACTACTTTCTCAATCGTAATGCAACCTTGGACTAAAGAGTGAATTTGTGGCGAAGTAATGGTGTAATTTCGCTTTTGACGAATTTGCCGACTATAAGATCATAAAAATACTCTCATGCGAGCTAATAGGTTGAAAATCTAAGATCGCTAGCAAATTACAATTATCGTGTGGTAATCCAGACAATGAATTTATTTCTGCTGCTTAAAGTAAACATGCCTTTTATATTAAATAATCCTACTTCATTTGGAAAATAGTTTTGAGAAACAGATATCATCAAGCAATATCGCTGAATTGATTGCTTGGTAATGAATTGGTGGTTTCTACCTTTTCACCAGTCGTCTTTTAAAAATTCATAAGTATGCAAACCTCGAATATAAGACAATCACAGCAACTGTTGAACAAATACCAATGACAGCAAATAAGGTAGGTACTATTGAATACCTAAAAGAAACACACATATTTTGGATATTTATTTACTGGAAGTGGAAAAAGCAGTTGGAGATGACGTCGTACCAGGAAGACCATCTTATATATTTCAAGCTAGACTGAGCCAAACTGAAGCAGCTTTTTCGATCAGCCATCTGCCGCCAACCTTCACCACAGTCTACACAGTTTGTCTCATTTGTCAAAATTTCATAATCTTCACATTTGTCGCAAGCTCAACAGTAAATTTCATTCTAAAACCAATCATCTCAGAAACAGTGGTTTAATTTCGCGTTAAATTATTTACACTATTGTTAACATTTATTTACAAGAAATTTATTTGATTATTTGTTTGTTTGGGGTATGGTTGGAGACTCACGAATCGGAATTCGCGACAAAAGAAGGAATTTGTAACTAAAGTCGCAACTTTTGAAATACCTAATCCTATCGTTTCCAAATTTTTGATCTTTGATATTTTTAAATAATTTCACCTTCTACGACCATTTTCTGGTGACAATTTAAAACTGCATAGTGCGCAAGTCCATCGCCTTCTGAGCTGAATCGGAATGTTTTCTCCACTGCATCTAAAACATTTACAAATAATATATGCTTCAAAAAAACTAATTTCGACAAAAATTTCATTCCAAAAAAGGTCACTCGCCTTTCTGAAAAGAAGAACATCAGAGCTTTCTGACTGGTAAAAAGCTCAGTCATACTTTTCTCAATTTTCTATTCCCACTGAATTAAATCCCACTAGTAACTGTCGGAAAAACCGAAAGAATTTATACATTAAATGCTTAGAATATTTCTAATGATTCATCATTGCATTATTCACCAAATTACATTCTTCAAAATTATCTCCCATACGTTTCTTTGTTATCTTTGTCTAACGAAAATACACATCTTTACAGTTTCCTTTGTATCTAAATGAATACCCCTTTTTTAACGTTTTATGTAAACTACTCCTACTTCTTTATGCACGTAACCCTTTTGTAAAAAGGTTTTCCTGGATTACTGCTCTTCCATAGTATTCTTACTTACAACAGCTTTTGACTCACGGTCAAGCAATTTTCTACTCGTTATTCTTCAATAATTCTGCTGATCAACTCTGTATTATATCAATAAAGCGGTAAATTTTACTCTGTGTCCTCACAACGTATATTCGACGTCTTCACAAGGTAAGCCTTTGATTAAAGTTCTGCTTGATCCTAACTCAAGGCTAAACCTTCTAAATCTAAACGACTCGATAAAAGGAAAGAATAATTTTCTCACAACAGTAATATATGATTATGACTTCCCAATAAATCACCTTCAAATTTTACTTGTAGCAAGTATTTTTTGTAAAATTCTTCACCATCGATATGTTTCATCGCATCGCAAATTTGTGTACACTTAAATGTCTTGATATCCACGAGGATGATACAGTATCGTCAGGGCATATTTTTTCTTTCATTTCCTATTAGAGATATTTCAGTGTGAACTGAGAAAAAAGTTGAATTGAAATTAAAGTCCCAACTTTGGGAATATTATGGACACTTTGCTTCTTGCAGACTTATCAAAACTGTAGACATTTGGAGGTAATTCAACTTCGCTTCGAATGGAACCCAATTACTTTATTGACACTAACAAAATATTGCAAAGGGGAGCCTGTAATCCATGAGCAATGGCATACAAAGCATCAATAACAAACTGAACCTTGTCATCTGGATTGAAGTTTTCCATAGTATGACGATGGTTTTCACATGTAAGAAAATAAATGATTTTGAAAGATGCAAATATAGAAGCTAGAAAATAGTTTCCCATATATAGACCTTACCGATTCAGTGTACTCCTACTCTGTTCAGGTAAATCAAATTCACAGTTGAATTTGTGGCGCCATAGTTCTCTTAACCATTTGTTCCGTTCAAATTTGTCATGACCCGGATTTAACGATAAAAAATACTCTAAGAAACGAGTTAGAATAGCTCTATAATCGTTGTCGTATTAAAGCGTTCAACGATCAGAAAAATTTCTTGTGAAGCGAACTTTTGTAAATACCTTTCATAAAATAAATGAGAAAGTGACCTCTTCAAAGGTAGGAACACGATCAGAAGCTAACATTAGAACAATACCACCTTCTGCTGCTGATTTCCTTGGACCTGATGTGCATGCTTCATTGTTTCGGTCCCAACCTTCACTCGCCCACTTTTTTAAGCTGACATCCGGTTAACGTTCTTTTGAAATTTCATGGTGTTTAACAAAATTTATTCAGTGATGTCTTTTAATATAAATGGGAAGCAGAAATGTTCACTCTTCAGAAATGTCCTTGACCAGAAAACGAGTATCGAAAACGAATATTCCTTAAACGAGTATCGAAATTCTTCCGAAACAAGTAATGTTTCTTATTTATGAATCTAAATGAAATTCGAACATAATTTATTCATGAAATTCCAATTTTTTGTCTCGAATGACATTTAAAAGATGATAATGACATTACTTGATAATTTTTTGAGTAAAAATTAACCAAATTATCTTTTTACGACTTGGTAACCGCTTCAAACGCATATGTTCGAATGTTCGCAGCATCAGTTCTGGTATATATTCCGTACCAATAAACAATATTACAGCGCGTGGACCAACGACTTTATCCGGTTATAACCTATAAAATGAAAGCATGTGAATGTAATTATTGATCTATAAAGAGCGAACTTTATGATAATCCTTGGATATGTGCTCACTCTGTAAGGAGCACTTTGCTCTAATAACATCGGTGAAGTAATTGTGTCACCACAATTTTGATTGCCAATTTATTACTGTTTTTACATTTTTTAAATGAATTTAACAATTTGGACCGATTAAAAAAAATCATGAATATTCATTTGCACTTTAAAATGTTTCATTACTATTATCACAGGGTTCAAAATATTGAAATTAGTCACATTAGTCACAGTAAAGAATCAGATAGACGCCAGCAAGGTTAGGTACGCTTGTGTTATTAATTTCCTTCGAGTTCAAGTTGTAAAATAAAATAATAAAGAACAAAGAATTCTTTAAAATTCTAGAAACTTATTTAGCAAGGGATTACTTTTTAACGAGATTATCAACAGATTCCTGAAATGTTTCTTTTTTGGATGATATGCGCTCTTCGATAGCATGCAAATATTCATTTTGAGCGCTTTTTTCTTGAAAGCTTCAGCATCAAGCTCATCGTATTCATCTGCTGAATACACCAGTGATACATATGTCCAATTGAAGTGCAATGCGATATCAATCATTGCACGCGCTTGATAATTATCACTGGGCACGGTTCTCAAAAAACTGATCGATTGATTTTTCAGATCTACTTGAGAAAACATAAATTAAGAGTTAAAATTAAATCATAGGGGTAACGAGAAATGTCTCATATAAATTATCTCCTAGATCTTTGAAGGATTTGACATAAGAAGTATAAGATGTCATAGTCACAAATCGAATCGTAAAGCGAAAGATCTTACCTAACAAAGAACTCGAAACGTGTTTTGTCACTGAGATCTGCATTGGTACTGGCTGGGCTCACTTAAACTATCTTGAACAACCTTAAAAGATTAGCCACCTAAAAGATGAGGTAATCAAATTTCAGGTTTACAACTGGTGATATGCATTTCTTCACATCACTCCGTATTTCACTAAACCTCCCAATTTTCAAAGAATTCAAGCCTTTCAGTTCATTATTTTTACTATTAGGTATGTGTTAGTCATCTGTATCATTCACTAAACCAATTTTTGAACTATTAATTGTTGACGGAAATATATGCATGATAAGAAGTTACCTAACGTTGTTTTGAAACAATGTCAGCTCTGCCTGAACAGTAACAGAGCTATAGCTGCCGCCAACAACTCCAGCAACATTTTTGTGTGGCATTTGCCGACTCTTCGGAGGATTGCCATCACGACACTGATATTCAGATAAATTAGCTGAGCCAATCACATCACGGACAAAGTCAAGACTTTGATTGAGAGCATAGGCTGAATTTGAACATGAATCCAATATAAGAGCACCCTAAAGGTCCAATAACAAAAAAAACCTTTTTTCCTCATTTTTTTAGCAAGTTACTAAAAATGCATTATTGTAGCACTGTTTCTATACAGAAATTAAACAAATTAATAAAGTGATTTCAGAATCTTGATAACCTAACATGCATCTATAGCTCAAACTATTGCTTGAATCAGAAACTTAGCAGATGAATCCCTCTTTTAGTTTTACCTCCAGTTACAATTTGGAGTAAATATTCATCAATTTCGGAGCAGAAAGTCAGGAAGTTATGATTTTACGGGTATCTATGGTCTATTGCCGGTTTGCATAAGACGATGTAAATATTTGGACAGTACGAGTATTCAATATATTGTTATTCAATATTAATTCGATATAATATTCAGTATTAATGCGCAATTACTACCAATGACTGGATATGCAGCAAGATTAGTATTATAACTACTCACATTAAATAACATTCGATGATAAGTTCGATGATATCATTAAGATAATTGCTCACGTAGCGTAGCATTAACTAACGGAATTTTGAGTATTGCTGCAATTTCACTCACTGCTTTCAAATGATATCGATTTGAGTTAGCTTTTAGTGCTTTGTTTTAGCTTACTGGGCGAATTGCTATGCATGGCTCTTTAAAGTTAAAAATAATCTGGTAAAACATTATAGCTTAGTAGAATAAAAATGGAGAGAAATAACAAACCAGTTTATAACCGCGCAAAAATTCACGTTGAGAATTGATAACATCCAATGCATACAACATTGCTTTCACTGTGTACGCCTCTTGAAACGTTTCAGTTTCATTCAAGAACGAGTGGACTTTCATCAGTTTAAAAAAAAAGAAATTTCTTCATCGCTTCACAGTTACTACATGACGTTCGTTCATCATTTGCATGTCAAAATGCATGACCGTACTTACGATCTAATGCATTCTGATTCCCTCATCACGAAAGGTAAGCTTTTCAAAAGATTCAGGAAAGCAAATCGTGTTTCGGCAATAACACCACAAGGGTGAATCAAAGAATCACTTTTTGCGTGAACTGGAAAAACTCTATAAAACCTATAATGACATCACCGGGTACCCTAATCTGACGCAAATTCGTTGGTTGCAAGTATGCAACATCCTTAGATATTTGCTGAAATGATGTAAATAATTGTAAAATTTCCTTCGTCATCGAACTAGAACGCTTTTATTGATTTATCCTTATCGCTTGTATCAACTATCATTTGATGATGAACGGTATACATTACCTTAGGAAACAGGTCCCCAAAAATTCTTAATGTCCTAGGTCTCAACGAGAAACTAGCTCTGGCTTCGATAGCTTTCCACCATAACTTGCTTATCGCTGGTTAAAAGGGAACAGAACGAGAAAAGCAGGAAAAGATCTAATCAAAACTTAACACCATCTCTACCAGGTTGGCCAACTGCGGCCAACAGGCATTTTCTGATACGGTCGAACAACAACAAAAAGGCAAAGGCATACTCCTGCCTTGAAAGTATATCAGACTGACATTCGGCACACACCGGCACACACCTGCCTCAAAGGTGTACAGCTATCGCTGAAATCGCGAGAAGTAGAAGAAAATAAGTGATACTCAATTTCCAATAATTAATTATCTTATTGAAATCTTATTGAATGTGATTAAGCTTTGTTCATAAGTATATTCTAGAACATTCCATGCCAATGTATCAATGCACATAAATACAACAACCATTCCCATACCGGGAAATCATTCTTCACAATAACTCCGCCTCCACCTCATCCCCGGGATAGCTGGGTATTATGGATATGGTGGGGGAACCGGGAGGCTGGGTTGCATTCGCGTTTATGTTTGATGGCGTGCTTAT